TATATTATATTATATTATATTATGTTATATTATATTATATTATATTGACCTACGTATGAGACCAACATAGAAACCTGTCTTCTGGCGGTTTCTTGTTGAATGATGTGTGTTGGAGATCACTGTACCAGCTTTGTGCAAAGCAGTGTATGGAAGCTGTTGACTTCACTGGGAACCGAGTATCTGTTGTCAGTGAAGATAAAGGTAATTTTCCTGAAGTGTGCGCAGGCTTAGCTCCATTAGAAGTGAAGAACGAAGTGCCAATTTCAAAAGTGACCTCTGTCCCTTCCTAGTTAAGTGAATATATGAATATCATACCCCATTATCTGCTTGGTTGAAGACTGAAGCAATTCCAAAGATTAATGTAAAGGATGTACTGATCTAACATTCACTTCTAAAAAGGATTAATGGAGAGAATAAAAAGGGTGAAATTGCAATTCAGATATTAAATGGAAATGTACATTTATTTATACTAGGAAAATTTTATTTAGTAGTTTCTACATTCTGACTGAACATTGTAAATACTTTAAATACAAAAAAATAGGGGTAAAGTATTGAAAAAGTCAATGCAACTGATTTCAAACAACTTTGATTGTCTTTTCTTTTAAGAAGCTCTGCTTTTTATGACCTCAGTTTACAAAAACAAAAATGCATTTTTTAAAGAACTAAATAACTCAGAAGGTCTGTGAACCATTTAATTTGAGTTGAAATGTTTTTATTAAAGTGAATGGAGTTACAGTGGCCCATTGCAGAGGTATTTTGAATAATGATTATTGCTGGCATGTTCTAGTTGCAGCAATAAGTAACGGAAATGCAAAATGAGAGTTGGACAGTGGTGTTAGCATGGCCCTGCTTCTAGGCTAATGTAATCTGTTTCTCAGCCAGAGTAGTTTACCTGGATAGAAGCCACAATGATACATCTATACTGTTCCTGGTGCCTACTTTGTTCAGATCTAGCTGCAGTACCTTCTCAGGACACTGTATTATGGAGCTCAACATCTATCTTTCCTTTGGCAGAGTAGAAATCCTAAATATCCTAAATCCTAAAAAAAAAGAAGGGAATTATGGCTTCTCCTGAATCTCTCCATCACTCTCCATCATCTTTGAAAGGTCATGGACAACAGGAGAGGTGCCTGAGGGCTGGAGGAAAGCCAGTGTCACTCCAGTCTTCAAAAAGGGCAACTACAGGCCAGTCAGCCTCACCTCCATCCCTGGAAAAGTGATGGAGTAGCTCTTTCTGGATGTCATCTCTAAGAAGGTGGAGGAAAAGAAGGTTATCAGGAATAGTGAACATGGATTTACCAAGGAGAAATCATGCTTGACCAATCTGATAGCCTATGATGGCATGACAGTCTGGGTAGATGACGGGAGAGCAGTGGATGTTGCCTACCTTGAGTTCAGCAAGGCTTTTGACACTGCCTCCCATAACATCCTTATAGGTAAGGTCAGAAAGTGTGGGTTGGATGAGCGCACAGTGAGGTGGATTGAGGATTGGCTGAATGGCGGAGCTCAGGGGGTTGTGATCAGCAAGACAGAGTCTGGTTGGAGGCCTGTAGCTAGCGGTGTTCCCCAGTGTCAATTCTGGGTCTGGTCTTGTTCAACCTATTCGTCAACAACCTGGATGAAGGGATAGAGCTGTACCCTCAGCTGATGATACAAAACTGGGATGAGTGGCTGAAACACCTGAAGGCTGTGCTACCTGGACAGCCTGGAGAGTTGGGTGGAGAGGAACCTGATGAAGTTCAACAAGGGCAGGTGTAGGGTCCTGCACCTAGGAAGGAATAACCCCATGTACCAGTACAGGCTGGGGGTTGAGCTGCTGGAGAGCAGCCTGGCAGAGAAGGACCTGGGAGTCCTGGTGAACAAGTCAGCCATGAGCCAGCAATGCGCCCTCGTGGCCAAGAAGGCCAATGGTATCTTGGGGTGCATGAGGAAGAGTGTGGCCAGCAGGTCGAGGAACATTTTCCTCCCCCTCTTCTCTGCCCTGGTGAGGCCACATCTGGAGTACTGGGTCCAGTTCTGGGCTCCCCAGTTCAAGAAAGACAGGAACTACTGGAGGGAGTCCAGTGGAAGGCAACAAAGATGCTGAGGGGACTGGAGCATCTCCCTGATGAGGAAAGGCTGAGGGAACTGGGCCTGTTCAGCGTGGAGAAGAGAAGGCTGAGAGGGGATCTCATCAATGCTTATAAATACCTTAAGGGCAGGTGTCAAGAGGTTGGGGCCAGACTCTTTTCAGTGGTGCCCAGAGACAGGTTAAGGGGCACTGGGCGCAAACTGAAACTCTGGAAGTTTTACCTGAAGATGAGGAAGAACTTCTGTACTTTGAGGGTGGCTGAGCACTGGCACAGGCTGCCCAGAGATGTTGTGGAGTCTCCTTCTCTGGAGAGATTCAAAACCCTCCTGCACACATTGCTGTGTAACTTGCTGCAGGTGACCCTGCTTTGGCAGAGGGGCTGGACTGGATGGTGTCCGGAGGTCCCTTCCAACCCCCACCATCCTGTGATTCTGTGAATTTAGCCAAACTGAAGCATTCATATAAAATAACCTCAAATATGACTATCATGCAAAAACTTGTCCTGTAAAAAGACAGGAGTGTCATTAGCCAGCTCTATACAAATGGTCTTTGATTCTATAAATACTGATTCTCACATGTGAGCTAAAAAAGCAGCTCTACTCATTCAGCATTTGGAGAAACCCATAGAGATGTCTGGCATATTCCTCTCTATAGAAGCTGAATGTGCCAAACTCTTGTCACTGGACTTTCAAGGACTAAAATGATGCAGAGTTGATTGTAAAGAAACAAGATGAGCACTCTATCATCTTAAACCTGGTGAATTAAGGATGTTCTTTTTCAATAATAAGAGTACACTGTGTACATTACATTGCATCCTTTAAGTGTGTGGAGATGTGCAACTTCATGCTCATGGAGATGAAAGAAAAGTCTCTTCAGATTCAAATCTGTCAGCTTCCCTGAGAAAATAAAGGTAATAATACAATGAAAAATGGTAGTGAGATAGGCTATGAAGAAAAATGGTCCTCAATGCCTTTGGTGGCTAGGCTTTAATTCCTAAGGTGATCCATTACCTGGTACTTGGATACATGGTCCACTTATGGACCTATTGATCATTTGCCCTTTAGAGATGAGAGGCCTACAGTGTGTCTTGGACTAGGATTACAGTGTCAGTGAATTAGGTTTCCTGGAGTTATAACATCAGCTTTAGAAGGATGACCTACCAGAAATGTCATAGCGCAGGACAATGAGATGGTTCTTAGCAAAAACACTGTCCTCAGTTCAGGCTACAAGCTCTTCTAACTGTAAATAAAAAAATATATGATACTGTTTGTATAACAGCATTTCTTTTTGCACTTTCCTTTTTAAAACTTGGGAATAGACAAAAATGCAATAAAAGCAAGTTCAGAGTGGTCAAATGCAAAGACATACCAGATTTTCTATACAGCCTTAATTCTCCTTAGTTCAGATATACTAAGAATTCATCTATGAGGGGACCTAAGGAGATGTTTTCCTCTGGATTATCCCCAGCACCTGTATTAGCCTATTGTAGAGCATACGCTTTGTGTCACATCAGCAAATGCCATCCCTATCATGGATGTGGCCAACTCTGCGATAGTGAGAGGGTCTTTCATGACACGTTCTGATGGCCGTTTCCACAGGGTTCACAGGTAGAGCAGTCTGGGAAGAGGAAGAGGAACATAAGTAAACCAAACATGACCTTTCCCAGTCTCCAGTGGCTGGAATTCACAATTTAAATACCAGTTTTAACAGTTTCTTCCATGACATATTAAATGCGTAAATCAGCTTCTTTGTATGTTCACCTATATAATTTTGTCTGTTTACCCACGTGTCCTTTAATTTCTGCAGTTATACCTAATATGACTGTGTACCTGCAGAAACACAGCAGTAAACATGGAATGAAAGAAAGGATGAGCTTTATCTAAATTATGATGTTAGCCTATTCAGGGCAGTAAGCTAATGGCTGCTCAACTCTTAGCATTTGGGGTACATGAGATGTCTGTAAAGAAGCACGGACATGCCTTTTAAATTCTGCTGTAATGTGACCTGAAAAAGAGTGTCTGAACAATTGATAACAAACAGAACAATTAATTTATTGAATTTACACAACCCCCTTCCCAAAAGGCATTACCATAAGCAGGGGAACTTACCATTCTCCATTTTACGTGTGTTGCTCCTGTTCATCTTTCACAGCTCTTTTATCAGTCTGCCCTATGACAAAGAAGTCTCTGCAGATTGTACCTTGTAGCTGTGACTTCTCAGAGACAATGGAAAAGAACATGCTAGTGCAGAAATTGTTATGGCACAGGACCAAGGCAAGTGAGATATTTGGCCTGTTTTCTAAAGTAGCTAGAGAGGAAAAAAAAAGGAAAAATATTATTCCTCAGGCAGTAGAAAAAAAAAACACAGCTCCATTGGCCTGAACATATCCTGCTGCTCTACACCCAGATAGACCTTATCAAACAGCAAATAGTAGTGGGAAGTGTGGAACTGATTTCAATTTGCATATCATGCTTTCATTGCAGGAATATCAAATTGATATATTTTTTGCCCAGACGTGGACAGATAGCCGTCTTCGCTTCAACAGCACCATGAAAATACTGACTCTGAACAGCAACATGGTTGGCTTGATCTGGATCCCCGACACGATATTTCGTAACTCGAAGACGGCGGAGGCTCACTGGATCACCACCCCCAACCAGCTCCTCCGCATATGGAATGATGGCAAGATCTTGTACACCCTCAGGTGAGCACACGGCGAGGTGCAGGGCTTAAAGCTTCTCCCACCTCTGAAGTAGTAGTAGTAATTTTCACTGGTATCTTTGTTCTTCTCTGCTATTTTCTTCCTGATGCTTATCTGACCATGCTGGACAAATACTGAAATATTCAGGAGTAAGTACTGCTGAGTTTAAAAGATGAAGTCTTGTCTTTCTGAAAAAGAAACCTTGAGAGTTGGAAATAGGTCTGTCTAAATTGTAGAAGTAGGGCTTTTTAGTGCTTGTAATAAAATCAGTAGCACGTAGTCCCATAAAAACTGTCAGAAACATTTCTAATCAGAGTTAGATGCTGGCTTGGATAAAGTATTTCTAGATTCACGCTAATGTCAATACTTGATTCTTCAAATAAGTCACGCTGAAAGATAGTCTGTCACATCTCATCACAAGGGTGAATTCCTGGAGGAAAGGCTTTTAGAGTTTTTCTAATCTTTGTGAAACCATCAACTGTGTGGTATTAGAAATACTGTATATATATTTGCATTAAAAAAAGCTGTGGAAATCAAAATATGCGTTTACTTATGGAAGAGACGAATTGCTCAGAAGGGAGTTTCGCTATAAGCCATATTCCACATGGCAAATTGTTTCAGAAACATCCCTTTCATGCCACATTTTCCCCAGTGATTGTGTTTAGTTCTATCAGTGCAACAGTGTATTCTGATCATACTTGCAATTACAGTTGGGCTCCAATAGAAAGTTTTTGGCAAACAATAAAAAAGGAACTAAACAGCTGGAAAAACTACTGATACTTTTAGTGTCCTTCCCTTCTTAGGCTTGCTCCACTGTGAAGAGCTCTTGCTTATTTCAGTAGCCTTTAGCTAAAGACTTCGGTGATTAGGTTGTCAACTCCAATACCCTCTTGGTTGGGTTATTGTTTTAAGTTTGTTTTTTTTTTTTCTATTAAGTCCTGTTTCAGTATTTCAGGGCAAGTTAAGTACCTACCTAACAGCAGTTAGACTTACAGACCTATCACTACAGAAACTATTTGTGGAATGGACTGCAAAATTTGTCTAAAACAGCTAAAAAAGGGATAAATTTGACCCAGTGGATTGTTTGAATGAGCATTTGTTTGTGAAAGATGTTTTGAGTCCTTTTTGCCCACTTAGGTCAGCCTCCTTTTTACACAGGAGGACCTGTTAGAATGATCATTGTTCATTGATAATACTGTGTAATTCAAAACAACTTAACCCGATTTAAGTGAGCACACAGAATTGATATGGCATGGAAGCAGTAACTACTGTCTGCCCTGGTACTGTCCGGTGTTGACGAGCGTTCTGTATTCAGGAGAAAATGTACGAGGGTCAGTGATGCTCCATGCCTTTTCATCCTCTTCCCTGCCCACTTTTGGCTGTGAATGCACTCCTGCTGTAACACTGCAAATCCTCTACTAGTCTCGGTGCAAAAACACTATTAAGTTCCTCAGAGGTGACCTTCTCCAAGACAGAGGTTTTCTCTGTGCCATCCTAAATCTGGGACATAAACCTTTCCCCATCCAGTTTGTTAGCTTTTGAATTAGTTTTAAGAACTCAAGGAAAAAAAGAAGCCAACAAGAAAACCTCATGCCTCACACTTGCTGCATAAATTCAGGCATGCAATTAATGTGATGTCTGTTTCCTGAAAAAGACTGTATAATAAACTAGCACTTAATGCAATCTACCTGGGTAAACAGATTTACTTTGCAAGCTATCAGACTGAAGATTGTCTGGTTTTAATAGTAATTTTAAAATCAGCTCCATTCATAGTGTCCTTTGTGTTAGGAATATCAGATAAAACAAGCTTTCAAGTGGGGATGAAGATGTTTCTGCTGATCTGTTTGTTACATCTGTACAACTGAGAATGGCATACAGAGATTTTTTAAGTTTTTGAGCGACAACCCAAAATGATTGAAAGAATTTTAAGTTCAGACTATGAGTAAATGCAGACAATGTTCCTTACAAGATTCTTTAAGAGGTTTTAAATTTGTGGAATTACATGCCACCACATCAGCCATATTTCCTGTTATTTTTCTAAAGTTGTTTCCATCTCTTGTCCTTCAATGATGAATTGTCTAGAGAAAAACATATGCACAGATTTCTTGGGATCAAGAAACTCTTAATGATGTGTCTGAAATGATTTGTGGTTTTAGATAATTATTATTATTTTAGTTCAGACCTAAACAGCCAATGAACAATCTGCAAATACAGTCCTTTCCTTTCAGGCCTTACTTACAGATACCAAAACACTCTTGTATGATACCTAAGGTTACCTTGCCTCCTCCTCTGACTGTTCATTGTGTTGACGTGTAGTAACAGATGCTTGATTTCTCCACAGGCTTACCATCAATGCTGAGTGCCAGCTGCAGCTGCACAATTTCCCCATGGATGAACACTCATGTCCTCTGATATTCTCTAGCTGTAAGTACTGCTTGGGTACCTTATTGTTGTATATGACTAGTAGGCAGAGGCATGACTTTAATTCTGATTTCTGCCAGGTTGTTCAACTATTCCGCAACAGGTATAGGAAGTTTAGGTTTCCTTAAATATTCAGGGAGTTTTTGTTTTCCTCTCTAGCAGTCCTGGTTGATGGACTTATGCCATGAAGTCTTCTTCTGTTTACTCAGCTATTTTTGCCAGAACCAGCCTTTTTAGTTGATACTATTCAGCAGGAGCAGATATTCATACCAGTCTGTGCCATGTTAATCTATACAATCATGTGACATGCAAATGAGAATAGAAATTGCAGTTTTCTTGTGGAGGTACACAGCTTGGGCAAATGCCCAGCAATCTCTGAACATCTGAGTTTATAGCAAGTGGCATGGTAATGCCTCTCTGTTCCATAATAAAAGTAAATGGTGTAACTACTGTAAATCTCATTTTCCTTCTACTGCTTAGCTTGTCCAGTAGCCCCAATGTTGTATTGTATTTAGCATTGTTGGTGTATTTAAAACCTACCTAATAGGCAAAACAAATACATTGGTGAAATGAATGGAGGACAGAAGTCAGGTGAGTTAGTCTTGAGGTCTGATGTTACTGTGAGTTACCTTCATGCCGATTCATTTGAAAAAGCTCGAGAGCAGTCTGTTCATGGGTACATGTGCACAGTTTTGTAATACAAGGTCACACAAGGCGAATGTTTTATAAACATTTTTGAAAGGGTCTCCACTAAAGATTTTTCTTTCGATAAACTCCAAGACTCAGGATCTCTATTCTCCAAAAGTGAATGGGAAATGTATTGTTTTGTCTTTCTATTTAGAAAATCGCATTTTCTCCATCATCTCTTAAAAAGTGATAGAAGAACAATGCTATTTAATATCTTCATAATAGATATGCTGTTGTGATAATAAGGTACTAATTTCCATTTATGAATCGTATACAAACAGTGATCCTCAATCAGAAAGTGGATATGAATTTCAGCTGATCCAGGGTGCATTCTTCTTTTTCCCCAGGAAAATGTTTTTAAAAACACTGCCAATGTAAACATCTCCCTTTCCCCTAAAACATTATCACTACATTGCCATTTGTTATCATCTATGTATATATGTGAGCTTGGGCAAAAAATACAGTGGTATGTTTAATTTGAATGTATGGAATACGTGCATTCTCAGCTAAACAAGAGGCAGACAGCTCCTGAATGAACTTGCCTGCTAATGAACACTTGTCACTGAACTATATGCACCTCAGCTCTCTTTAGTTACTGCATAAAGCTACTTCTACTGCGTGGCAATGTGCTATTGATTTGTTGAGGTACTGGGAATGGAGTGTGTGATCTTCAAAATTAAATCCCTGACCAGAGATACTAATTAAACCTACCACGTAAATTTGATAAGTCCTGCACTAGCAATATCCAAAGAAGGTGAACTCTAATAAACAGGGAAGTAGCTTCAGACCTTGCATTCCCCAATAGCTAGACAGTTGATGAATGCAAGTAAGTTATGCTCTGTGGTTTTTATTTAAAGAGAGAGGATATCAGCGGGAACTTCAGAAGGCTCCGCTCCATGGCAAAGTTTCAAACACATCTTGATTTGCAGAAGTTCCTTGTAATTTAGATGTATTAGCTCGGAACCCTTCAGCCCTTGAAAACATACGTGTATTACAATTGCACATGTACTACCATCTATGGAGATGGAGACTACACAGGATCAAGCAGAAGCTGAATGTGTCACAGTTTCTATGCACATATTTTGTAGATTCTTGCCAGATGGGAAAACCCATGGAGGAATACTAAAATAATGATTTATAGTTTTGTCAATATTTTTGATCATGTTGATAGAAAAGGTTTCTTTCTTTAGCTTCATACTGAATTGTGTTCTTTTCCTCGAACACTTTTAGCACTACTGTTATTGTAATAGTAGGAGATCTCTTGTGTGATTTGTTTGTTTCATAACTAGGTTATATTTTCAGTGTTGCGTACGTTCATAGCAGTCTCAAGACACATGGCACTCAGTGGGATTTAGGAAGTGAATGACTGAATGAATGCTTGGATGATTTACTACTGCCTGCTATGACAAGTTTCTGAGGGGACAAGCAATTACGAATTCCAAGATGTGTGTCTTTGAATAAAATAAATATGGTTGTAGAATTCCCAGCACAGCTCCACTTCCCTCTGCATCCCTTTTCGTTTTTTCCCCAGCACACAGACAAATCTTCACAGTTCCCACTGTAGGCAAGCACAAAAAAGGACAAGTTTTGGAGAATATTTCCTGCATCTCTACACACATATGAACAAGGTTAATATCTGAAATGTCTTACTTTCCATATAACTTTCCCTTGGTATTTCAGAAATGTGAAACTAATCTGAAATTGTTTCTATTTTCCTCTAATGCTAGCTAATTCACACCCTAACCCCATTGTTGCTTTGGGGACTGTTGCTGTTTCTTTAGTGGGAGTACCGAGTTCTACTTGGTCTGGTTGCCAAGATGAATAAGGAGGAAACAGCAGCTTATAAACAACTGACCATCTCAGTGTGCTAGCAGCGGTTACGGTAACCTACCTACACCTTCCTGTGGAAAATCTTGTTCAAGAATGGTTCCTGGAGTTCTCTAGTCTCTTTTATAGGAATTAGAAAGTATTGAAATAATTTGAAAGCTCTTCACACTCTGTGCAAGTTTTGTATGTGCTTCAGGTGACATGATGAGGTGAATCATCCGGCATATTAGGGCACGAGGTAGGTGTGTGTCTGTTGTTGAGGTCCATACATAGATGTGCACTTAACACACTGCTTATGTGAAAAGTTGAGCCCAATGGCATAATGTGGTACTGCTATGCAATGTGACAAGTCTTTCCCAGTCTGTGTACCAGGTTGGTTTGATCAACCACATGTGGCAAGCAGGATTCCTTAATATAGAGATCCTACAACATTGGCACTAATACCAATGTGTGGTATGAATGTGTGTTTCCCTGTGAATGTGAAGAAAGAATTAATGCTATGACTTGATCCCAGTGTAGCAATCTTTGATAGATTTTGCACTACACAATCACATTTTCATCCTGTGGTTTTAAAGTACTGTATACTACTGCTCAAAAATAGTCTGTCAGTGTGATTCTTCATTCGGGTTAATTTATCCTCGTGAGCCAAGGGAGGATGCTGTGCTACTTTTGGTGCTCAAGTAGCATATTAAACTGTCTTGGTTATCTCTATTCAGCACTGATTTGAGCATTGTGGAAATAATTTCAGGACTCTGCCATAAGATTTAGTTTATTGAGGTACTTAAGATTCACATAAACATCAGGAAGGAAGAGGAGGTATTCTGTCTGAAGGACGATGTGAGCACAAGAATAAACAAATAAGACACAGGCAGCAAAATGCAGGGTGGAAATTAGAAGTTAAGCACAATTAATTGTGCAACTCTGACCATAGGATACTGTGGGTGCTAAAATTTTATAAGGATTGAAGCGTGTTTGGACAGATCATTGGAAGAAAAATGCACTGGAAACTACTAAGCATAACGAGATCACTCTATACTAATGGCCACTATTTTTTTTATTTGGAGGGAGTAAAAGCATTTGATTAAACAGTAGGCAAAAGTGGCTGTTTGACTAAGCTACTTGAAGGAATTATTTTCCATTAGAATCATCATACAACTGGTTTCAGCTAGCCTACATGGTTTTGGTTTTCCTTTGTCAACCACTGATGGAACTGTTGAATGTTGTGGATTTTCTTGATTTGGGAGGACTAGGTACACTGCAGAATAACGTGAGTGTGTTTGCACCCACACCTGTGCAACAGTTAGTTGTTCAAGTTGTTCATTTTTTCAGCTCAGCATAAACCTTCACCTCCTCTCCCCATCCATGTGCTCAAGAATAACTTAAATTCATGACAGTCCTTCAGGTGACAGCATATGACAGCCATACCAAAATTAAGCTGATGACAAACCCATCACACCTTGTTTAGAGCATCTGGTCAACTAACTTTTTAATTGTATGCAAGGAGCTTTATGGAGGGAATCTGTACTAGCTACCTACCTGAGGTCTGAAACAGTCCATAAAGCCATGCTTCAGGCTTTACCAGACGCAGTCATATTTAGCTGCAGTGCAAGACACCAGAATAAAAATAATTAGATTGAATTGATTAATGGCTTTTCATTGCTTTATTTATCTTGCTGTTCTGATAAAACTGCAGACACTGTTGTTCATTTTAAAGAGCACCTTAGATTTAGGCTATAGAAATGATGACTTTTTTTGTAGCCGATTACTTATCTTTTTCCTAGTGAGAAGGTCTACAGTGTCCTGAGTTGCCCATTACTGGAGGATTGCTGCAAGGCAGGAAAAGGTAGGCATGCACAGAATGCAATTCCTACTGCAAACACTAAAATATACACAAAAAGTTCCATGAACAATTCAAGTATTTTCAGTTCAGTTGAAAAGAGGAGAAAGCAAAATTTCAAGCCATTGATGGTCCAGTTTGCTGAGTCAGGCCTTAAAACATGTAGTTTAGCCTTCTAAAAGTTCAAGTTGTTGTTTTGTTTTTGTTTTTTTTTTTTTTAAGTGATGTACTAAAGCATGTGAAGTATTGCAGAAAAAAAGTAAGGAAGAGTGAAATGCATTTAAAAGAAATTCATCCAAATCTAACATAGTGCTTGAAAGAAACAGATCCCGTCTTTCTAAATATAAACTCAGCTCAATCAAATGGTACCCCTTTGAACATAAAACCTCTTATGGATTTGCAATCAGTACTTTGAGCCTCGTATCATTAATTTTCTAACAGAACTAGCTGTCATCACCAATATGTTTCTCCTAGCCTAGAAACGTAAATGCTGGTTTGGTGGAATGAGCTGTGCTTTGTTTCATCTTGTGTATCATCAGCAGAATCATTAATAAAGTCTGAGGGTGGAATTTTACTCCTGATGAAGAACAGGCCAGAAGGAACACAGCTTAATGTTCATATCTCAAGAGGAGTTTCATTAAAGATGCTGGGA